ATGAAAGTATTACCCTCTTTCACTCTGTTCATACTGTTTCCAAGAAAATCAATTTGAGATTTGGTATTTCATATAGAATTTATATATTTTAAATATACATTTAAACCTCCCCTGTGCTAGATTATGAAAACATTGCGCATTGCAGGGCCAGATCTACAGATCAGTACTCAAATGTCCAAATGTATAACATTAAGATATATAAGTCCCTGATAATTTGTTACTCCTGTGAAATTTGTATCAGGACCTTAAATATGTTGGGTAGTCTCAAGATGGGTCTAATTTAAAGCTAATGGGGAAAATATTTGTTTCTTGTATTCAGGCTTTTTAATTTTAATGGTCTGTCAGTGTGCTCTGTGTATAAATATTAATATCAGAATTTTTTAATGGAACTTATCCTGTAAGTTTCATAGTTTGCAATGGTTGTGCAGTTTTTACAGGTGCATTTAATGGCAACATCTTATCTTGAAACTGCATTTTAAAGGCTCAAATGTAGTTTGATTTCCTGGGAATGGGAGGAGGGGAGAAATACCATTCTCTCCTTGGGGAGACAGCCGTTTCCTCGTGCTGTATTAACTTGAAAGAATATGAGAAGCGCGTATGTTGCCAGCAGGAGTGTGGATGTATAGAGTTTTGAAAATAGTAAGTGTCAATAGGGAAGGGTTGTAGGTGCCAGAAGAAAAATGTAAGCTCCCAAGGGCACTATTTCTTTTTATTTTTGCCTTGTCCAATGCCAAGCCACATAGGTTGATGATTAAAATTCAGTTCTTCCCTGAAAAGTGATTATATGTAAAAAAAGGTCCCGTTTTAGAACAGATGTGTTTCCTGTGTGTATTCAGAATCACGTTTACTTGTGTCCTTGACTCTCTTTTTAATATACTCTTTACACCTGTTATATGTGTGCAGCCAAGAGTGATGTGAGAGAGAAAACAGAAGTCCACTTCCCAGTGAGTACGAGCTGTGGAGCTGCTGCCGCAACAGGGCGGCTCTGCCCGAGGTTTCTCTGTGTCCCCTCTCCTTGGGAACACAGTAGCCGTGCTCCACAGCTATTTCCCCTCTGCAAAACACTAGCCTAGAAATCTGTAACAGGGGATTAAACCACTTAACCCGCAATGGCAGCAGATTGAGCTGATTATTACTTCTCCTATTGTTAGCCACCAAGGACAAGTGATTGCTCTTCTTTACAGCAATCTTTTCATATGGTTGTCATCACATTCCCTGTCTGAGGAGCTTCTGATTTATACTAAACACAGCTAGGTCTTTCTGCCTTGCTTCCTATGGGTCTTTTGGGGTTGGCTTGTTTGTTTGTTTGTGTCTTTAGACAATAATTCCTGTTGTTCCTAGCTAAATTCATTAAGAGTGGGTGGCCCAGTACTGGCCCCACAGTACTCCAGAAGTGGATGGATGGACTATTCCAATTGAAGTCTTTCCAGAGAAGTGTTTCCTGGATCAGGAGGGAATTATATGTAAGACATTTCCCATGTTTGCAAGAGCAACAGATTGCTAACATATTTGCTTTATGATCTGGACCATTTTCTGCAGTATTGCTCAGCCAGTTATTCCTCATTTTGTGTTTGTGCTTTTGTCACGTCACTTTACTGAACTTCATCTTCATTTCAGGTCATTTCTGCAATCTATCAAAATAATTTTGAATTCCAGTTCTGTCCTACAAGATACCTGCATCCTCCCTTGAGCATGGTTTCGTGTACTGACTTTTTACATTTACTCCATTCTGCCTCCCAAGTCATTAAACAAAAATAAAGGAATTTGGAGAAAATGCCATAATCTCAGTTGGTCTTATATTCCAGTTGCAAGATCTATTTTGGTTCAGCAATCACCATCACAAGCAAGTAGAAAAGCCTCATTTGGCTTGCAGACTCTTAATCATGTAAGTGTGTAAGGTGTAAAGAAGAAGAACCCAGCTTGACTCTCAGATCACACAGTGAACATGTGGGACTATTAGATGGAGGGGGAAAAAGAACATCATTATACTTAAAATCTGATTACATTTGCCAAAGAAACCAGAGTAAGGGAAAAATATTGAAACCCTAGGATTCCATTTACTTGGAGACCCTATTCAGAGTTGAGCCATGCTTCAAATTACGAAGAATGCCAGGGGTGGAGGGGATCAAAGGGAATAATGGCAATTGTGGCAGAAGACGTTCTGCTGCTTGGGTAGCTGGCTCCAGCAGCATGGCAGCTTCACTTCTGACCCAACTTGCTGGCTCCCTCTGCCCTCTTCTCTCCTTTGACCCATTCCTTAAGTTTATTTTAACACAAAATATTTTTAAAGTTTTTTTTTTTTGTTATGTTTAGGCCATTATTTCAATGTTTGAGCATGTGAGTGCACTACGTGAAAGGGAGGTTGCCATGGTAATTTCTCATTATTGTTGAATAGAAAAATAATTACTCTGGCAAAATCCCCCGTAACCTGTCAGAGCATAAGTTAAAGATGCCTGGGGGCAGCCTTGCCTTCACCATCCCCTTTTTGCAGAAAAAAATCCAGGGTGATTTTATTATCTTTCTTCTTTTTTTTTTTTTGTTTGCAATAACTGGATCCTTTTCCAGCTTGGGTTAGGGACACCTCATTTGGTTTTGTTCACTAGTTGGCTGTGAAAGTAGTTGGGCCCACCTGTGACAAGGGTGGAGCAGAGAATTAATCAGTGGAGTGTATACAAGCTTGACAGGATTTATATCATCTATTAAGGTTTGGAGGGTATTTTGTGGGTGAGGTGTTGCATTTTCTGGTTTTCCTTCTTCCTGACATAAAACTATGAAAAAGCATAAGATAAAGGCCTTGGACAGTATCCAGACTGTGACAGAGTCTGGATATTTCATCTATCCAGCGAGGGAATCCATAGTAATTCCATCTCCACATTTTCCTTGCCTTCAGACCTCCTGAAAGCTAGAGTGAGTGCAAATACATGTGTTTTTTAGGTGAGGCCCTGCACTTTCCCTGCTCTTTTCTATCTTTCCCGTGTGCATTTGCATCCCAGCTGTGTGATAATCCCCTTTTGCTTCCCATGTCATTGGATGCTGCAGGAGTAGCTCCAGTGATACTTAACTCTGAGTCAAGGAGAGCTGCAAATGCGTGTGTGATATTGCTTAAATCCTTCCCTCCCTATAAGTATGTCCAAAAGATCCCACTTAAGTGATACTGCAGCCGCTCTTTTGACAAATGGTAGCTCGTATTTCCATCTTGGACAATACACTCTTTTATGGGCTTTTAATGTCACCCACCAGGCTGTCCCAAGGCTGCACCGCCTGAAGGGTGGGTTTGCAGAGATGTGTTGCTAGAAGCCGGTTGCTAGGCACCTCCTGAGCACCTGTGTGCATATATCCCATACTTGCTGTTGTGGTTACTTGGCTAGTTGATGCATTGCTCTTTGCACACAGAAACAATCAGATTTACACCAGCAAAGAGGAGAGAGCAGCAGCTCTCTGTGGCAACAGATCCCTAAGATGTGGGGATGGTTTTGATACCTCTGTGTGACTGAAGTACCACAGAGCTGTGCTGCACGTTGTCCTGACACTGCTGGGAAGGATGACCCTTGGCAAGGAAGGTGAATTACAGGCCCTGACACAGCCAAGAAGTCTCTCAGGAGTCTCTGGTGGGACCTGGAATGCTAAAACCTGTCTTTATCATTTCTCCATTCGATGATTGACAAGAATCAAAGTTTTGAGGCAGGAAGGATACCCTGCTCAGTAGTTTGGAGTGAAATCCAACAGTAATGTCTTCAGGAAAAACAGGCATAGAACCAAAAAAACAAGATAGTTACTTCTCTGCATGTGTATATATAGCAATTATGTTAGACGTATATTTTGTCTTAAATTTTTATTTTATCACAGGTTTTTTTCCCAGTGAAGCTAATGAATATTTTCTGGCTTAGTTTTACATTGCTCAGGCATTAAGAGGTGCTAAGTGCTCACTACACTGACTGAAACTGGCCTTGCATGCTGCAAGGCAGCTGCTGTGAGTGGGATAAAGGAGTGCGCTGAGGAGTGCGACTGGGGCATCTTCAGAGGTGTCTTTCCAGCTTTGTTTCTGATCCTGTATGCTGCAGTGCTGCAAGTGATTCAAACCTCAGGGCCACAAAGCAGCAGATGAGCACCTAACATTTTAAATACAGCTGTTAAATATATCCATAGCTTTTCAATGAAGCAGCTGGTGGATTCCATTGTCTGACTTCTGTGAAAACCCTTGTGAGCTGGATCACTTGTACAGGTGCTAGACATCGAGGTTTGGGTGTCTGTTGTTGATCATCCAGGTCTGAAAATGCCTGGTTCAATCGTCAAAAGCCACAGACCACCTGTATTGGTTTATTGGTATATGCTTTACATTGTACACTATATTAGCTATTGCTATATATATTACTGTACCTCTAAGTATACACAGCTCATCTTAAAATATTGTTTTCACTTCATGTAACATGAAAAGTAAAGATTTCTCACAACAATTACATTTAAGTAACTAGCTGGTATTTAATCAACCTGCAGTAGCACTGTATTTATATTAAAGGCATTGGAGTGGAATGGCTATTATATTTAATTTCTAAATAACTTTCTTGTCAGCTCATGCTGATAATTGGGTTATGCAGCATTATAGAATTGAGTATGGAGGTTTTTTTTCATTATTAGAATCAAGCATTTGAGATACACAGCCCAGAAAGGGGGGGGGGGGGAAGTCATAATTGCTATGTTTGCAACTGGTTTATAAAACCATTTTTAACATTTGAAGAAAAACATATATTTATGAGTATGAAAGTTTTTACATGTTTAGTGTGTGCAATAAAATGAAAGACAGTTTGTTGTATAACTAAATATTTTATTTTCTTAAATTAGAACAAGAACTTTATCTAGGAAGATGAGTTTGAAATGTAATATATACATCTACACTCTAAAATCACAGGTGAAGAAGCATGAACTATGTGTGAACTTCTTTACAAAGGATGAACATATTTTCATTTTGCCTCCTGTTAAGTGAATGATCTGTTGCTTCCTAGGATAGTGACAACCTCTGGTGGGATGCCTTTGCAACTGAATTTTTTGAAGATGATGCAACTTTAACGCTTTCATTTTGTTTGGAAGATGGACCAAAGCGATACAGTAAGAGATATATTTTTTGTTCTAATTTTAAGCCTGAATTTCTAAACACAGTTACCTATAAGAGACAGATGCAAACCCAGCAATGACAAAGCCACTTGTTAGTTTTCAGTGACCATCAAGTTCTATTAAGAATTGCATGCATTGAGAATCCATTTTTTTGAGGAAGTCCTCTGAATTTTATTACATGAAAAATTATTTCCTAGTGGAGTAAGGCAAATAATCCAATATGATATTTGGAATTTTTCTATTAATTTTCTTTGGCTATGCTTGAATTCTGCAAACATTTGAAGTGTTGTCTTGTGGGCAAAATTGTTTACAGAAAGGGAACTTTGTAGCAAATTTTGGTATCAGGAAAAAGATACATTCCAAAAGCTATACCCTTGCTGGTTCCCTCAGCTGCTTGGACCTGTGCTGTTTGCACACTTAAAGACCTGCACTGCATACTGTCTGAACAGCAGTGGAAGCCTAGAATACTCTCTCAATCGAGCACTAAATGAAAGCTTGAATAAAAGTGAAGCAGTGAATAACTCTGATGGCATTGTTATCCATTTCTGAGCAGGAAAAAGGAGTGAAATTCATCAAACAAGTTGTTTGAAGTGAATAATTCTCTCAGCTTTAGCACTAAGCAACAGAGAGATAAGTAAACATTGAAAAACTGCATTGCCAATTGTTTCATTCCATTCAGAGTGACCCCTGCTTCATGGTGACAGCTTGTGCTCTCTACTTAGTGTTCTGAATCTTGCAAGGTTCTTCTTTTTCGTGAGAGTGACTGATTGTTAGTGTATCACTCACATACTCCTAATTCCTTTTATCAATTATCTCAGGTATTTATTTGACAAGTGTTACCTTCTCCTGGAGAAAAAATAACAGCCACATTGAACGCACGTTCTGGGATTAGTGTTGACAGAATTACAGTTTCTTGCCTTTCAAAGCAAGTGATAACTCTGTAAAGGTCCTCAAATTACAGCCTGTAGCAACGCTGGTAACAGCTGATCTGTCCTGATTAGGTTGAGTCAACTTGTCAGATATCAGATTTGCTAGTTGTGTTATCAGTCCAGAAGGCACAGATACATCAACCAAAAAGCAATTAATGTCCAGTTAGATCAGAAGGAGTTGTGTTTCTGGAAAACAGTGCTGCATATGAAAGAATTTGTCAAAGAGTAAAATATTCCTGTTGTCACAAATGCTTGATAACAGTTGTGCTATCTGTAACCAGGACGGTTTGGTACGGGGTAGTACTGTGGTTCTTAGCATTGTTGCTGATAAGCATGATTGAAAGATCACATTACTGTAGGCATGTTTTTGAAAGTGACTGGTACACAGGATATTTCCTCTGATTTTAATTTCTGACATCTGCACAAACTGTTGTTGCTTTTGTGTTGTTATTCTCAGCATCTAGAATTAAAGTTCAGCATTTAGGGCTCTTTCTGTTTATTCACGTTTCCTTTCCTTCATTAGTAAAAATCTATGTAATTCTGATTATGTATTAGTGATTATTTCTGACACGAACAGTATTCCTATTTAGTGGTACTCTAAAGAGCATGCTTGAACTGTTTCAGTCTGGCATTTCCATTGGTAGGTTCTGAGAGCAGCCTTGGGGGTGCCGTGTTGTCTAAGCCCCTGCTGAGGGATACCTCCAGCATTGCCTGGGGAGGGTACAGAGTGGAAGCTGTGTGTTAAGAGCAACCCCTTCTTCCCACCAGGGAAGCTTGTGTCAAAAAACATGTCCAGGAGTTGGGAACAGAGCAGCCTGCTCCCCTTTGGTTTTAAACATTAACGGAAAATCGCTTCCACCTGTAGCGGGTCATTGCTGAGCACAGAGACCTGATCAAGGTCCCTGTTTTGTAGGCCCAAGCCGTGTGCATGCTCCATTATATCTATGGAGGGTCTTGGTATCTCCTAAAGACCATCATGTCACCCAGTACCTTTATTCCTAGTAACTGGTGAACTTGTTGGGCAGTGGGCTGGTGGTCCTTTTAGGTGAGCCAGAACATAATGTGGTGCCAGCACTGAGTATGGATTTCTGGAAGAGATCAAACTGAATCACCTGGTCTCCACCTGCGCTGTCCCCAGTGAGACACCTACCTCCTTGCCCACTGTGCACGCTCTTTACTATTAAAGACATTGAAGCTGGCTGAGAAGGAAGAGACAAATTGTTCTTACATCTTGCAGGCACAAACAGTAATGGAGGGAACCAAGATTAAGCCCCAGAAAAGAGAAATAGGCATCCTTTATGAAGTCATTTATAGAGTTGAAAGTGATGAAAGATGCCGACCTCTTGCCTTTGCTGCAGGATTCAGCTCAAAATTGCCTGCCTTTGTCTTGCTGCAGCCTCTGAGAGATTTGCTTGCATCTCTGACATTGGTTGTGGCTGCCACCTCATTTTCTTTCCTTTGGGCAATGGTTTTCCTCTTTGGGAAACTAAAATATTTTCTTTTGGAGCACCAAATTCCAGAAAAAAATATTGTGGGGGTATGTGGGGAAAGGACAACTAGTTTTGCATTGTCCATGGCCGCAATTTTGCTCTTCCCAGTCCTTTTCCTTTCTTGCTTTCTTGATCTCTCCGGCTCTTGCCTTAAGCCACCAGAGATGAGGAGGAGCATGGTGTTTTGCCCCAGGTTCCTTCTTCAAAACAGGTTCCTTCTTCAAAAAAGGTGTTGTGGGAGGCTCCTGGGAACTTGCATATTCTCTTCTGCTCTTCTCTAATGTTGATGGCAAACCTCTCTGGGGCTTCTTTTTCAAGCTTGCTTTAAACTTTTAGTTTCCATGGGTTTCCTATTGCAGGCTTTTTCCCAGCTCTGCCTTCTGTTCTTACCGGGACAGCCCATTCCCACATCCAATGCAAGTGTTTAGAGCACCTGCATCAGGCGTGTAAATCATTGTCTCTGTGTTATAAAGTTTTAAAAAGTTATACTTTTATTTTCCTTCCATTTCTTTTAACTTTTAATATACAGTCCTGTCCAAAAAACTGTAAGGGTTATAAACCCACTTTTTTTGTCCCGGAAAACTAAGCTGCTTATTTAATTTCATGGCCCCAAACTGAAGCTTTATGAATACACCAAATATTTTTAGGCCTGCCTTTCACATTACTGTGTTTTACAGTATTCCTCTCTATACCTAGGAAAGCGGTTTGCTTCCCTTTGGTACTCCCACTGTTAAGTCTTTGGTGTTTTTCCTTGTCTATCAGCTCTGATATTCTGTATTTTGTAGGGGAAAATAGATATGGGTTGAGGTGAGGATTTGAAGTCACTGGGTTATGTTTACTTCACTTGGCACGAGACAGCACTATGTACTGATACTCCAGCTAGATTTAAATGTGCCTGTGTGTCTGTATGGCACAGCATATAAAGATACTTACTTATGCCCTGGGAAGAGTAGAGGTCTGTTAGTTCAGTGATCCACCAGTGTTAATTAATTTGATTGCCAAGTTTGTTAGACTTACACCAGCTATCTCTGCAGAACATTATTCTGCCTTGGATAGATGTGCACTTGAAAGCCCAGCTCAACATTTCATGCAGAGATTCCCTGTCAGACCTGAGATCACTGCTGTGCCCATCTCTGCAGCTCTTTTTGTCTTTCTTCAGTATTTTATTTCTGTAGATGTGAGAACTTTACCTGCTGCAGTTCTTTTTCCCTGGTGCAGCATTCCAGAGAGAAGATAGTATCTTCTTTCAAACATCCACTGAAAATGTATGTTTTTCTCCTGCTTATACCCTTCAGCTATTTTTTGGTCTATTATCTATGAACCCTACTCACGTTATTAAATTCTATATTGAAATTTAGTTTTAATGAGAAATGCTACAGAAAATAAAGATATCTTTTAATGAAACAAAGGTGTAAATTATGTGTGCTTTTTGTAGTCTGGCTCTTTGGCTACAGTTAGATGGAGAGAAAGCTCACACATTCCAATGTCTAATGTCAGGAAAAGATTCCCCAAACCAAAGAGATGCTACCTGTTTAAAACTGCACTGAATTATATTCAACAGAAACTAAAAATAAATCCAGGAAATTCATTTTACAGTGAGAGCAAAAAGAAATTTGGTTTAATTTATTATGCCCTGATTTATTGAGTTAAGAAGTAAATAGGATTTAAAGAAAACCAAATAAGAAAATATGCCTAATGGACCAGATTTTTTTTTTTCCTTGTTGTGGATAAAACATTCATTTCCTGTTAAGAGCCTTCATCCCTCTAAAAGAGTAAATACTAGACTCTGATCCATTGTTGCCCAGGTTCTTTGTTTCTTAGAGACAAAATATTTCCCGAACAGATAAGAGAAACAAGTTTGATTGACAGCTCTTAGCAGAGTCTCATCAGCTGCTGTGCTGACAGCCTGGTGATGCGCACTGTGCTGATGTGGTAGGGACTGACAGGTGATTGACAGCCCAAGACTGTGGAGACAGGAAAGATGAAGCATGCTCAGTAAGAATAATGTGCAGTGTTTATGCAGCACTGCAGAGAATAGGAGCTAGAAAGTTAACTCTTTCAGAGCAAAGTGACACTGTAGCACATAATGGATGCATTTGCCACTGTACAGAAAATTAGAGCTTGTCTACATTTCTCTTCTGTTCACTAAATGCTTTCTGTTCATGGAGGAGCTATATACTGTGAGGAAGTAAAAGCATGAGCTATCCCATTTGTAGCTGTGAAAACATTTCATGTGTGGTAGGTATGATGTAGCCCTCAAAATGGATTTATTTAAGCCTATAGATGTAGAATGTATTGAGAATTTCAGGCACTTTTTCTGGGCTTCCACCACCCAATTTTATATGACATTGCATAATGTTACACAGCAGAAATTTCAGAAGGAACCAGTTGAGCTCTTTTGCTGTGTGTATCCCTAGAAAAATATAGTGATTTCAGTTTTATTGTTGTTCTTAATCTGAAGCTGATAATTGAGTATGAATTTTGTGTTATAATTGCTACTGCAGTTTGTGTTTGGAATGTACAATATAACTATGCCATGCTTTGCATTTTAGACAATTATTGTTCATTTTCTCTA